ACTCACCCGGTTTCCTTGGCTGGAGTATTTTTTCACAGACTCAGAAAGTCCTTGAACGAAGCGTTGCAGCACGTTTTCATATTCTGCACATGTGGTGAAGGAAAAAGTGAGTTACATGATTCGTTATCATCATCATCTTAAACAGAATGAATTTTTTGCGAGAAAACAGAAAGAAGTGATGGGGAAACGGTTCATCCCGACCTGGGATTTAGGCTCAGTTTTTGCCATCATACTGATTTTTAGATTTTTTTTCAAATCCCATATTGAGAAATAGTTATGCTGCATTTGTTATTTATGCATTCTTTGTTGTTGTTTTTTTTAACATTGTATAGTATTTTGTTCATAAGCTTTTCTGTGAGCAGTGAGTCTGTTCTTCAGCTACAACTGCAAGCCAGTAAGGAAGCACTGCCACCTATGTACTCTTGAGATGGACAGTTATACGGAGACGTCTCGTTACTCAAAGCTAATTCTCTTTTCATCTTCAGCCAGTGAGTCCTGTGTTTGCTTTCCTCAGTAGATTTAGAACAAATAAACCAGTAACCATAAAACAGCTCGTTTCGGCCTGTGCTTTGGGTAAAGTTGCACGCAAGGGCAACTCATGGCCCCTCGATGCAGCAGCCTCCACCACAGGATCTGTGGAGTGGCAGCACAATCACACACATCAAGAGACTGACACAGCAGCAGCAAGGACAGCAAAGCCCACAACTAACCAACTAACCGACCAACCAACCACTCTGAGGGACACTGCCAAATGCAGGTAGAGTTTCTCTGAGATGCAGAGACAGTGACAGCAGCAGGAAACCTTAAATAATCCTTAATAATAAAACAACTTTTACTTTCTCCGCAGAGGGGATCCTCAATTTATGACTTGAGTGCCAATTTGATGCATCTATCAGACTGAATTACTGCAAAAATTAAAGCTGCCACAAAACCTGCCTGACAAAAAAGAAGCTGCAGAGATGTTGTTGCATCCATAACCCGACGTTCATCAATGTAATAATTTAAAAGTTAGATTTGGAGTTTTGCAAGATCAATTCTGAAGTGCACAGGGTGCTGCTCAGATTCAGCCAAATGCTGCAAAACTGATCCGACTTCACTTCACAGTGCAAACGAATAATGAAACGCAAGGCAAAAAAAATGGGACAGTCTAACCTAAAGGAGCTTTTCAGTTATTAAATAGTTTGTGAATGCAAAGACTCACAAAAAAGCAGCAACTGAATCTGAATCTAATATCTAATATTGTGGTATACAGAGCAGAAATGACAAAAACTGTTCCATTTAGCTGAAACAATTCTAGGCTGTAGTGGTGATCCCAGTGATGGACTTGTGATGGAGCTGTGTGCTGCTATCAGCCAATACTTTGAGGACCTGGACTGCTCAACATAGATGCTGTTGACGAAAGACTTTCCTGTCTCGGTCAAGTTGTTCCAAAACTGAGTCAGGCTAAGATTTCAGGGAGGGGTAAAAGCACACGTTCAAAAGTAAGAGATGTGTGTGTTACCTGTGAGCATGGCAGGAGAGGCTCGTTCCAGCTGTGCTTTCTGCCACTGCAGTCGGTGTGTGACCTCTTGGTGCTGATGGATGAGGTCAGACGGGGTTTCCCGCTTGTTCTTTCTGTACTCTGTAATCTGAGAGACAAGCGTAATGAGTGACGAGACCTTGGCGCCTTCGGGCCATTGTAAGCATCAGTGAAGTGCACGTTGTGGGTCGACTCGGGCCGCATGAACACGCAGTACTACCTTCCTCTCCAGCCGCTCCTTGTCGTAGTTGAGGAGGCTGAAGCTGTGGAGTTTGTACTGTGGAGGGGAGCTGCTGGAGTGACCGCTCCTGCTGCTCGCCTCGTGTTTCGGTTTAGACCGAGGAGATGCAGGCTGATCAGAGCTGCTCCTGCCGTTTCCTCCATGTCTCGGTTTGGACTGAGGAGATGGAGCCTAAACAAGCAGACCAGAGCATTTCTTAGATTTCTTGGGCAACTGACTCATTTTCACCCAGGTTTATGAAAATCAGGTTATTTGACTTGTGCATTGCTAGTTTTTGTAATGCCTACCTTTATTTACCCGTAATCTGACTAGCAGGCTGGTTTACACACAACAAGTTTGCAGTCCAAACACATCTAAAAGGTACTGGCCCCACTTAATGTGAGTGAAAAGCCTGCAGTCTGCTACGATGTGAGCAATGCTTTTTGCTTCTTCTGGCTACTGACAGTGGGAAAGACTAAAAGCTGGTACAGCTACTGGACTGACGATTTGCTTTCCAGCATGCTCAGAGTATTTAAATTCAAATCTTTGTCACTATTCTGTTTCAACTTTGTTTGTAATTGTTCGTGAAATAGATTGCAGTTTAAACCATGGGTAAGAATATATGTGTAGATGCAAAACATCAATAAATAAGCATCATTTATTTAAAACTGCTTTTCACAGATAAGTGGTCGCAAGGCAGTGTACACAAATAAAATAGAATAAACATTAATTGTCCTAAAAAAAA